GAAGTCAAATACCATTAATAAAAGAATCCCATATAACTTAAAAATCAAATAGATATAGGAAATAAAAATTAGAAGAAAGCAATATGTAAGTATCATTGATTTTATAATAATAATAAGAGATAAAATAGAAAATTAAAAATTTTTCAAAGATACTAATATTTAAAAGTAATATATATATATAGGGTTAATCTCATTTTACACCCCGAAAGATTGTTCGAATCTCAATTTGCATCCTCAAAGATAAAAAATCTCAATTTACACCCTCAAAGATAGAAATTTGTATCAATGTGCACCCCCAAAGATCAAAAATCTCAATTTGCACCCTCAAAGATAGAAATTTGTATCAATGTGCACCCCCAAAGATCAAAAATCTCAATTTGCACCCTCAAAGATAGAAATTTGTATCAATGTGCATCCCCAAAGATCAAAAATCTCAATTTGCACCTTCAAAGATAGAAATTTGTATCAATGTGCACCTAAAATTAAATTAATAAATTATACCTTGATCCCCTCATGTTTGTCAATTAATCATTTGAACTCCTTCACATTTAGAATATTCCCCTTACATCTCATGACGTTTATGCTTGTGTAACACATAACCACTTTTCGTTGATATATATTAATATAATTATTAAAAAATATAATTTTATATTACCTTTTATTTTGTGGATTCGATATACTCTAAAGTTGAAAATCAAGCTTACCATTTGAATGTCTAATAAATTGTAGATATTTATATAAAAGGTAATATGAAAAATATTATATAAATATTTATATTTTATTAGACATTCAAATGGTAAACTAGATTTTGAATTTTATAGTATATTGAACCTATAAAATAAAGGGTAATATGAAATTATAATTTTTTATTAGGATAAAATTATATTTTTTAACGATTATATTAATAGATATCAATGAAAATGGGTTACGTATTATACGTGCACAAATGTCATAAGATGTAGAAGTAATATTCTAAATGTGAAGAGGTCTAAATGATTAACTAACAAATATGAGGAGATTTAGGTATAATTTATCAATTTAATTTTAGGTGCACATTGATACAAATTTCTATATTTGAGGGTGCAAATTGAGATTTTTTATCTTTGGGGTACACATTGATATAAATTTCTATCTTTGAGGGTGCAAATTGAGATTTTTGATCTTTGGGGGTGCACATTGATACAAATTTCTATCTTTTAGGGTGTAAATTAAGATTCGAATAATCTTTCGAAGTACAAAATGAGATTAACCCATATATATATATATATATATATAGATCAACCAGTCAAGAGCCAACAGCCCAAAGAATGGCCACAAGCCGAAAAGGTTGTTGGTAGAACAAAAACTTGTCCGAAAATTGGATTGGGCCACGGTCCGTTAGGCCATTGGGCTAATGGTCAGACTGTGGATAAGATAAGCCTCTTTAAACTTCAATTTGGTGTATTAAATTCAATGAACAAGCTAAAAGTATGGTATTCTCAATTTTTTTTTTTTTTTTTTTTTGGGAGAAGGGAAAGGGCTTGAACCTTGATTTCAAGAATACAAAACTTTTACAAGATGATAAGGAGTACCATTAGACCAAACCAAATTTTATGAGTTCGAATTGAGATTATTGATTTTGATTTTTTAAACGATCTTAAAAAATTATTTAAGTTCAGATCGATTAAAAAACGAGTCGAACTCGAATAATTTGACTATTTTATATATAAATGAGTCAAGTTTTGTAAGTTCAAGCTCAACCTTCTTAACGAGCCTAAAAAATTATTTAAATTTGGTTCGTTTTTTAAAAAATTGAGTTCAAAATGAATTAAATCCAAGCCGAATACGAATGGTTCGGTTTGATTATTAACCTTGTTCTCAAGTCTACATGCAAAGGAAGTCGAGTATACTGAACTTAGAGCATGGTCAAATTGGGACCGAACCAGAAGGTTTTTTTTAATCCTTTTATGTATGAATTTAGTTTTTTTTTTTTTTTGTTCAATGGTCATGGATGTCCAAATCAATTTACACTGAGAGATAAATTTCCTCTCCAGTCTAGTTAAATGCAAACTATTCACGCCAAAATTAGGGTATAAATCTCTACTCACAAAAAATTACTAAGATTTAAACTCAAGATGTCTAAATTTACTATTCATCTCTGCTATCATTTAAACTATTCGGAGTTGTATGAATTTATCTTATCTCTAGATATATAATGTAAATGCTGTAGGAAGCCAGTTTACACACATCACAAGTATTACTCAACATTCAATTCTAGAAAATACGAAATTACTTCATTAAAAAAAAAGGAAAATATAATATTTAGGACATAAGGCCCATGGCCCTCTGGGCCTCAATTTGGCTAAGCCTCCCACATAGAAATCACTATTTGGACTTCTTGCACTTACAAATCCAACAGGAATTAATAGATCAACGAAGTAATTGGCGTTCCTAAATCAATGGGCTGCAACTTCACAAACGAGAGAGATTTGAGTTGATGGGAAAGTAAGAAACCGGAATCGGAGCACCCGACGACACCGATTTGCTTCGATGCTTCTCCGATGGAATTTTGACGGGCTTGGATTCATCGTCGATGGCAGCTCGGGACGAACAAGGGATTAAGCAGCTAAAAATGGAGGAAAACAACGACATAATAGTTTAAACAGAGATGGCAGCTTACAAGAAAATGTGCAGAGCTTGAATGAGGTGTGAAATGAGATTTTCACATGTTGGCAGATTTATATTGAGCATGACGTGGCTTTGTGAATGTTTTTGCATTAGCTTGTGGAGGATGGTTTGTCATCAGCTTGCAGGGCAAGCTTGCTGATTTTCTTTTTGAAATTTACTTGGCAGTATTCTTCCCCTGTGGGCCTCTAGGGGTTGCTGCATTGACATTAAGCACCGAAAACTGACAGTAAAATATTTTAAAATAGTACTTGGACCCACTTAATATCCTGTTTGTTTAGCTAATATCGTCTAGTATTAATTTTCGGATCTTTATACTGACCCGACATCTGCAATTGACATACACCCATGTAGATGATTATATTCAATACCACCTGATGTATGGTGTTATTCTATAAACTACCCAAATAACTAGAACACCTATTCTCCTTCACTAAATGAAATGGATTATATTAAGGTCAAATATGTCTTTTTACAAGTAAAAATGTGAAATAATCTTTGTTTTTTGGTGGATCCTACAGTGGCAAAAAATATTCAAACAAAAAGAGAATGAGATTGAATTATGTATTAATATCGGTTATAATTTTCCATAGTAAAGGAAATACTATGAAAGACATTAACCAATACCCAGCAAACAAACACACATTTTTAAGTCACATATCACGGGTAGTTTAACGGGATAGAGTTAACTCTATGACTTGTTGTGCTATTAACACAACCGCTTTAGTTTTGATTCTTGTTTGTAATTTTTAAACTCATTAACTTATTTTATTCTGACAAGTTCGGAGAAAAGTCTGTTTGCATACAAGCAAAATCCAACCAATAACCAAATCCGGGTACGGTCCTAAGTAGTTTAACATCTTAGCTCGTATGAACCCATGAGTTTTTGAGTTATTTTAAACTTGAATATCAACTTAATATTGTTAAATTTTCAAATGTTTTTGGCTTTATTTTGTAGAAATTGACCGAATAATCGAATTGATTAACAACAAAATGCACAGAAAATACGAATTTAAGTTTACTAAACTGTTGCGTCATTAAGGGTGTCAGCATAATTTTATAAACAAAAAGAGCATTATCTCTAACTCTTAGAAACCTGAGGGGATGTCAAAATAATCTCTCAAATAGCATCAATGCACAGGGCTAGTGGTGTGGACTTGAAGGGTAGTTCAGGCAGTTTGTGGATGGAGAATATGTTACTTGAGAGATTACGAAGCATGGATACTTTGTTGAGATTTATGAACTCGTATCAGATATCATATCAGATATAATATTCGTCAAATATTTAAGAATATGATGGATACTTTGTTGAGATTTATGAACTCGTATCAGATATCATATCAGATATAATATTCGTCAAATATTTAAGAATATGTATCAGATACACTTTCTATATATCCGATAATAATTAAATATTAAAATATTTCATAAAAACTTTTATAATATAGAAACATATATAATTTTTTAATTAAACTTTTAACATCTTTTTTCGAATTCACAAATCATATAATACATTAACAAAAATTTCATATTACTTTAAAGGTACATGAGTTTTTTTTTAGCATTATCTACAATTGCATGTCAAAAGACCATATAATAAAACTATTACATTATAATCTTGGCAAAAATTATTTTTAAATGTTAGGTAAATATTAGTTTTGATTCTTTTAATTAATCACTTCACTTTATGAATATACTACAGTAACACGATATATATTTTTTTGAAACTAAAAAGAATTATTAATTTTTTTTTATTATATGTTAAAGAACTAACAAAATATATAAGTGTTAAGTTAGTTAAAAATAATAAAAATAATAAATATATTTTATTATAGTCATATCTTGGTCGTATCTGTATTCTATTTTTTTAGATTTTGTCATATCGCCATATCAATATCATATCATATTTCGTATTTCGTATTTGTATCTGTGCTTCGTAGTAGAGGGATAATAGAAAAAAATGAGTCATAATTGAGAGTCAAATTATAAATTTTTCATATTATTAACTTTCACCATAAATTTAATAAAAATTTATTTTATTTTGCCTCTCAAACTATGTGAATTTTTTTTTTTCATTTTGTCGTGATGCGTTAGCAATTTTGTTCAAAAAGAAAAAAAAACATTTATATTTGGGATAATTTTAAATAATTCAATTGGCTAAGGGAGCAATGTGAAAAAGTAATAATTTAAGGGGCAAAGTAAAATTGAGTCTGTATTTAAGTGGGGTTAAAGTGTAATTTTCCCTAAGGATACAAATTCGTAAGAGATAAAGGATTCGTCACGCTTCCCGAGGCCTTTATCATCGTCTTCTCAAAACCCTGAGAATTCAGGCTCGTTCTCTCTCTCTCTCTCTCTCTCTCTCTCTTCAAATCAGAAACTCCGAACTTCACACCCATTTCGAAAAGATGCCGTTGAGAGTTTTGGATGCCACCATAACAACCTTCGATGGTGTATTCGAAAAGTTCAGATCGGAAACACCAGATAACAAAGTCAATCTCATACTGTTCTTGGCTGACAAAGACCCTTCAACCTCTCTCAGCTGGTGCCCTGGTAAAGCACAATCTCTTATAATGTTAGCAATAAAACCAATTTTCATGTTACAGTTTTTGTAGAATTTTTTGTTGATTGTTGCAATTTTTTGTGGGTGTTTGCTATTTCATTAGTCCTATTGCCACCCTTGTAACAGAGCAAACACTGTCTATGTTTGAGAGCATCGTAGGTGACTCTTCAGCATAGTGTAGCTCGGCATAAATATTTTTGAGTAAGCGTCAATGTGTGTCGTTGAGGTATAAGCATGGCCGCATGGGATTGGCTCCTATTGGTATACTTTGTGGAATTTTTGTGTACAAATGTTTTCAAGAATGGTCTGTTTTTTTTCTTTTGCCTTACAATTACGATGGTCTAATGTTATGTATTGATTCTATTGAGTTTCTCTCGATATGATTTTGAAAATAATCAAATAGCTACAATATTTGCTTTTCGTGTCTCTCTCTCGAAATAGTTTCAGGGCTTCAGGTGTATTTTGAATTTTTTAGTCTGTGATGGCATTGATTAGGGCAATACATAAGAGAAGGTTCTTGTTTTGCTAATATATCGTTAAATATGTGAAATGCATTGAGCTCAAAAAAACCCAAAAAACTCCCCTTTTTGTTTTTTTTTTCCTTCAGGGATAACACAATAATAATTTGGAGTATCTATTTTCTGATGTTTGCAGCAAATAGATGCCTAATTTATAGTAAGTCTAATAAAATATTTTTTTTCTTCATACATTTTTGGGGTTTTAGCCTAAACATTAGAAATTTCCATCGAGTTGTGTTGTGATAACAATAGCTTTTTCGGTCAAGTCCAAAACATAGCTCTTAGAATAAACTATGAATATTTTCATTAGTGCTTGATATTGAAAATAATTTCAGTGCCCATGTAAGTTAGTTATCATTACTACCTCATATTTCTAAAACTATGAATTTCCAAGATCAAACGTTTCTGTAAGCAATAAGCCGCAGATCTCCCCTTATTTTTGGAAAGCTGGTACCCGCTTGTGAATTCTTTTAAGGGAAAGGGGTCTTTCTAACCCCTGTGAACATCTTTTCTTAATGGAGAAAACTATAGAGGCATGAGGTTATCGATTGCCATTGGTTGGAAGTTGATTTCCTGTGGAAAAACAGGAAAAATGTAGTTTTGCTCTACTTATTTGAAGCAGCTATTTTGGCCAATTTGTTGGAGAAAAACAACCAATGAACCATGAACTTCATTTATATGTTATTCTTTTCTTTGGTTTGACATGCAAATATACTATGTCTGCATTTTCTGGTTGGTTCAGATTGTGTGAGAGCTGAACCGGTGATATACAAAAAGCTGGAAGCATCATCAGACAATGTCACACTCCTGAGAGCTTATGTTGGAGATAGACCAACTTGGAGGAAACCCGTGCATCCATGGAGAGTCGACTCAAGGTTCAAGCTCATAGGAGTTCCAACACTCATCCGTTGGGAAAATGAAGCGACCAAAGGTCGCCTTGAGGACCACGAAGCCCACATTGAACACAAAATTGATGCCCTCGTAGCTTAAGTTTTAGTTTCGACTTACCAGGGTGATTTAGAGATAAATTTGCCGTTGAACTATATTTTCCAAACTTACTATGGTTTACATTTGTTAAAACATGGTTAAGGACGTTGTATCTTTGATGGCCATGAAATACTTGGCACTGACATGCCGCTTTAAAACCAAGTAGCTTATTTCACTTGAGAATAAAAGCTTATCCTCTGATTTTGTTTCCCTTCTTTTGAACCTCAACCTTATTCAATTGAAGAGTTTTTTGAACTCGCAAAATTCAACTCATTTATATATAAAATAATCGAACTATTCGGTTTTGACTTGTTTTGAATTCGGTCTATTTTCTAAACAAATTAAGTTTAAATAATCTTTTAAATTTATTTAAAAAACGAGCTTGATAAGTTCAGTTCGATTAGCTCTAATAACAACCAGAGTGACACTAACCATGGCCCGATCATAAGTAACTTGGTCCTCCAGGAGAAATCCCTTGAAACATTCGATAATTTAGCCCTTACAACTTGATCATAGATGTGGTCTCCTTATGATTATTACACCACTCGAAACTACCATTAACCAATCTCACATCTATTAGGCAAATCACTGCAATCCCCTTTGTTGAGGAGGCACTTCTTTCTCTAAGTTGCAAAACTATTTTGTAGAATTCCTTAGAAAGAGTTGTCTAATCATGCACAGACAACAACATTTTAGTAGGTTTTCAAAGTCTCTACCCCTTTATTTTCTTGCTGAGACACTTCCTATTCCGTCCACTCCTCCAGCACTCCAAACAGTACCCACCACAAAACAAGGCCAATAAGCTTGTTTTCTTGCACCAATAAGAATCCTCCAGTTCTTTGTAAATAATAAGAATATACCCATGTTACTAACTCTTATCTTACCTCAAACTTTAATTTTAGAAATTCAAAATATACTGAATTTGTCAATGTCAATGATTCTCAATATTCAATATTGAAGATTCCCAATTACTTGATAAATGTAGAGTAGCCTAACCCACCAAACAAGCCATCAGCTTTCCCATCATTTATCGCGGTGGATAGCAGGAGAGGAACAGGCAACATAGAACTCCAGAGTCATCTTAGAATTGAAGCTTAGTAGGCAAGAGGTATTCACATAACAACACCTTCAAGCACACGGCCAGGGTGATCCAAAATACTGCTCCATTGCATCGTTTGAACAAGGGAATACAAAATTTTTCTTAGGCCTATTATCAACAGCCAGAAAGATTACAAGTAGTTACAGAAACCAAGGAGGACCATATGGACATGGAGCACTGTTGATCACAATAATTCATCTTCTGTGTCTTTTTGGTAGGTAATAATTTAGCATATCACCTTTAGCAACATCTTGCTAAAATAACACAATGGCTATGCATCTTTATAAGTTTATAAATTGCTGCTGCTGTACAAATCAATCTGCATTTCATAAGAGAAGAATAATTAGTATTGTATAGAACTGGAGAGGATATGTTGGAATCTTAATTGAATAGCAAATGTGCAGACACTCGAACTTTACACACAGCGCACTTAATTAACAAAAATATATTTTGGTCACCCGCATTGTGACTAGCAATTGAGTCCAATTGCAGCGAGAAAAAATAATAGAACCAGTGTGTAAGTACCGCCCTCACGTGGGAGTGAGGGGTGGGGAGCTAAGCACTGTTCCAAAAAATTCAAACTCAAAATGAACACTTCTTACCTGTATACATGAAGAACTGCCAAGCACATTTAGCTTGAAAATTGTTCTATTGAAAGTTTTGGAGTCACCTTCACAGTAATATCACCATAACTTTGTCCTTGCTGTACATCTACAAGTCCACAATTCTTCAATACCTACAAAATGAAGAATCACATCAAATATTTACATTACCACCGAACATGATGCTTTAATTGACTTTTACAACCACCAACATAAATCTTATGTGCTCATGTGGTATTCACAATGACACAAATAGACTCCCACTAGCTGGAACTGAAAAAATTCCATTCACACTGGAAAGCATGTGCCAATAAAGTGCAAATTGATCAAATTGAAATTTGCACGCCAGCAAATGGCCACAAGTTGGAATATAGGTAGAATCTTGACCTGAGGATTTCCTCGTATCGTTAGATTTTCAATATCTGTTTGCCTAGTTGTCTGCTACACATGCAAATGGGCCTTAAAAAGAACCAATTGCCTCAGAATCCAGTTCAGAGCTCAGTAAATTTGTTGGCTCAAACAACTTTAATATAACACCAATATTAGCTAAACAAAATAACTTCAACCATCTACTACATTGCAGGCCTGGCAGAGTACAAAATATACTAAAAGGAGATCACAACTCAATTATTCAAGAAGCATTTATGAATCTGACTCCAAGTAGTAACCCTGGGGCTTGTTTAACTGAGTTTGGTTGACGACTCCTTGGAGTATTCTGTGCTCTACTCAGGCCTGACCAAAAAGAAATCTTAGTGTCAAGAATGCATACTATACAATTGCATCACCAACACCAAATATGCAAATGGTGAAAGAAGCATAACAGCAAATGCGTTGAAAAAAAGTCAGTAAATGAACCGTTAAACAAAGTCATGAAATGGTTGTCACGAGTCTGCAATAATATACACGATAATATATCAGATATTGAAGCTACATTATCCCAACTAAAAATAAATATAACTCTGTAGAGTGCAATTGTTGGATTATACACTTTAGTGTGCAATTTTCCTGGAAGTACTCTGGTCATGCACGTATATTCAAACCACACACCAAAAATTCCTTAATTGCATACTAAACCACTTTATTTCCCCAATTTATTTTCCCACCAACTAATCAATGAAAAAATATCTCACAAACCAGGCAGTTAAACAGAAAGGTTTGAGGACTTACTAGTGTCTCAAAGAACATTCGAGCA